TTGTGGTCGGAAAAGATGCTTGATATGATTTCAATTTTCTTTAATTTACCGAGGCTTGATTTGTGACCAAAGATGTGATCTGTCCTGGAGAGTGTTCCATGTGCATTTGAGAAGAAAGTGTAATCTGTTGTTTTCAGATGGAATGTCCTATAAATATCAATTAAATTTGTCTGGTCTATTGTGTCATTTAAAGCTTGTGTTTCCTTATTCATTTTCTGTCTGGGTGATCTGTCCATTGGTGCAAGTGAGGTGTTAAATTCCCCCACTATTACTATGTTACTGTCAGTTTCCTCTTGTATAGCTGTTAGCATTTGCCTTAAGTATTGAGGTGCTCTTATGTTGGGTGCATATATTATATTTATAATTGTTATATCTCCTTCTTGCATTGATCCCTTGATCATTCTGTAGTGTCCTTCCTTGTGTCTTGTAATATTGTTTATTTTAAAGTCTAGTTTTCTGATATGAGTATTGCTACTCCAGCTTTCTTTTGATTTCCAGTTTGATTTCCATTTGCATGGAATATCTTTTTCCATCCCCTCACTTTCAGTCTGTATGTGCCCCTAGGTCTGAAGTGGGTCTCTTGTAGACAGCATATAGATGGGTCTTGTTTTTGTATCCATTCAGCAAGCCTGTGTCTTTTGGTTGGAGCATTTAATCCATTCACATTTAAGGTAATTATCGACATGTATGTTCCTCTTACCATTTTCTTAATTGTTTTGGGTTTGTTTTTGTACGTCCTTTTCTTCTCTTGTGTTTCCCACTTAGAGAAATTCCTTTAGCATTTGTTGTAGAGCTGGTTTGGTGGTGCTGAATTCTCTTAGCTTTTGCTTGTCTGCAAAGCTTTTGAGTTCTCCATCGAATCTGAATAAGATCCTTGCCGGGTAGAGTAATCTTGGTTCTTCCATTTTATTACTTTAAATATATTGTGCCACTCCGTACTGACTTGTAGAGTTTATTCTGAGAAATCAGCTGTTAACCGTACGCGAGTTCCCTTCTATGTTATTTGTCGTTTTTCCCTTGTTGCTTTTAATAATTTTTCTTTGTCTTTAATTTTTGCCAATTTGATTACTATGTGTCTCGGTGTGTTTCTCCTTGGATTTATCCTGCCTGGGACTTTCTGCGCTTCCTGGGCTTGGGTCGCTATTTCTTTTCCCATGTTAGGGAAGTTTTCAAATATAATCTCTTCAAATATTTTCTCAGGTCCTTTCTCTCTCTCTTCTCCTTCTGGGACCCCTATAATGTGAATGTTGGTGTGTTTAATGTTGTCACAGAGATCTCTTAGGCTGTCTTCATTTCTTATCATTCTTTTTTCTTTTGTCTGTTTCATGGCAGTGAATTCCACCATTCTGTCTTCTAGGTCACTTATCCATTCTTCTGCCTAAGTTATTTTGCTATTGATGCCTTCTAGTGTGTTTTTCATTTCAGTTATTGTATTGTTCATCTCTGTTCTTTAATTCTTCTGTGTGTTTGTTCTTTATTTCTTCTAGGCCTTTGTTAAACATTTCTTGCATCTTCTCGATCTTTGCCTCCATTCTTTTTCCGAGGTCCTGGATCGTCTTCACTATCATTATTATGAATTCTGTTTTCTGGAAGGTTGCCTATCTCCACTTCATTTAGTTGTTTTTCTCGGGTTTTGTCTTATTCCTTCATCTGGTACATAGTCCTCTGCGTTTTCATTTTGTCTGTCTTTCTGTGGATGTGGTTTTTGTTCCACAGGCTGCAGGAATGTAGTTCTTGCTTCTGCCCTCTGGTGGATGAGGCTATCTAAGAGACTTGTGCAAGCTTCCTGATGGGAGGGACTCCTGCCAATATTTTTATGGCATCTTCATCATTACACAGGGCAAAGGCTGGGAAAATAACAGGAGAGCTGAGACTGTACCTGCAGCTCCCCTTGGCTCTGCAGAGTGCCAACCACAGTTACATTAGCCTGACTCCTTATTTATTCCACTTCTGCCATCACCTGGCTTTCTACTATAGCTTCCTAAATAGGAGCTCCTAGATATATATTTTTTGATATGCTATTGCTAGAAAATATTACTGCATAAAAAGATTTGTTTCTGTTCTTTCCATTCTGTTCTATTGGTGTTGTGTATTCCTACACCAATGACTGAGATCTTTAATGATTATATATTTATAGTAAGTCCTGGTATTTTGTGGGCAAGTTAACCCACCTTGTAATATATGAGAATTTATTTGTTTTTGGTCTTTGCACTTTCTTGTAAATTTTAGAGTTAATTTGTCAAATTCTACTATTGCACTCAAGCTGTACATCAAATTTGAGAGATTTACATATAGGATATCAAGATACATCGTTTTGTTTACAAACATTAAATGTCACAATTTTGGAAAGTTTTGTAATGCTTACAATCAGTGTTTATGATTTTCTTCATAAAGCTCTTATTCATTTTTGTTAGGTTAATCTTAGGTACTTTGTATTTTTATGCTATGTTATTTGTATCTTACAAAATATTTTAAAGCTATTGCTAGAGAAATGTAACAAATTTTTGTATATTGAATTTTCCATCTACAAACCTAGCTACACTATCATAATGGTTAGATTTTTATTTCCTACTTTCATAATTGAAGTATCTGTAAATGATTGCCTAAATTTTCTTGCTTTCCAACTTGTAATACTTTCTTCTTCTTGCCTTGCTACACTGGAAAAGACCTCTAGAATAATACTGAATAGACAGTATGAAAGCAGGCATTTTGTTTTGTTTTGTTCCTGATATTAAGGGGAATGTTTTCTTGTTTCTTGTGATTAGTCAGCCTGCCTTTCTGTCTCTCTTTCTCTTTCAAAACCATGTATCAGGTTAAAGGATGTTTCCTCTTCCCATAATATATTTTCATGAATATTTTTTTTTATGCTTCCTAAAATTCTTCCAGCCTCTGCCACTATTGCCTTATTTCAAAGCCATTTCCATAGTTTTAGTTATGTGTTGCAACAGCACCCTACTTTCAGGTAGCAAAATCTGTATTACTTTTTAATTTGCTGCTCAGTGGGTTGCTTTATTGGCTGCTTTAGGGTTTACAGTCTTGTTTTTAACTTACTGTAGTTTCTATTCAAATGACATCGAATCACTTCATATATAAGAGTCTTGAAACATACTTTCATTTGTCCCTTTCTGGCCTTTGTGCAATTGTTTTTATACATTTTACTGCACAACACATTGTTATTAATTTTGCTGTAAAATATTACCTTTTATAGAGATTTAAATAACAGGAAAACAGTCTTTATATTTACCCACATAATTATCATTTGTGGTATTCTTCTTTGTGTATTTTCTTATTTCTATCTGGTATCATTTTTCTTCTCCTTGAAGGATTCTTTATTTTTTTTATTGTGCAGGGCTGCTGCTGCTGAATTCTTTCACCTCTTTGATTTCCAAACCAAAAAAAATTTCTTTTGCCATCAGTTTTGAAAGATATTTTTCCTGGATAAAGAATTCTAGGTTGAGTGGTTTAAAGATATTGCTCCTTTGTCTTCAGGCTTGCATTATTTCTTACAAGAAATCTGTTTTCTTGTTTATTCTTGTGTGTATTCTGCTTTTCTCCGCTGTCTGCTTTTAAGATTTTCTTTTTATTGCTGCTTTTAAGTAATTTGATTATGATGTATTTTGGGGGTTAGTTTTCCTTGTACTGTTGTGGATTTGTGGATATACAGTTTTCATCAAAGTTGAAAAAAATTGGCCATTATTTCTTCAAATAGTTATTCTCTTTTCCCACCCCTTCTCTCCATGAATTCCAACTGTAAGTATATTAATCCACTTGAAGTTGTCCCACAACTCACTGATGATCTGTTCGTTATTTTTTAGTCTTTTTTCCCTTTCGTTATTTTAGTATGTTTTGATTGCCAGTATATTAGATTTTTCTTAGTAGGAAATATGTACCAAAACTCGTGTTTAAACTGGAAAATTATTTGGCAACCTTAACAATTCTCATTAAAAATGTTATTATTATACTTATTTTCTATATTTTATAGGAATTGTTACACTTGGGGTTTAACTTGTGAGAACTTTGCTACAGTGAATTTGGTATCTGTTGGAGGTTGTGGTCTGAAATAGGAAATGATCTCCCAATACCTAGTAGTGTCTATTATTAAGCTCATCTAAAAGTTTCAATACTCTAATTGTCAAATTTTTTCTATACTTCCTTGTAGAAAATAATCCACTACTACATAGTAGTTCAAGAATACTTTAAAACCTGTGGTCAATTCTGCTCTAATATTTGTTTTGAAATGCAGATTTGTTACAACATGACAGAACAGTCTGAGCATAATGTGAATTTTACATTTGCTTATGCACAAATTCATCTGAAAATAGTACTAGGTGAATGTAGAAAAACAGCTTCTACAAGCTTCTTCGGTTTACCATGTGTATTGTGTACCACACCAGTCCACATATGGTGTTAAAACTTTTCATCCAATTTCAGATATCCTTCCTTCGCATACTGCATAATAACTCACAAGTTGAAATCTGTTTGATGCTCATTTCCAAAAACAAGCTTCATGTCTTATTCAAGATAAAGAGCTATGTTTCTCGTAGTATGTATTTCTTAATCATTTAACTGTATAAAACTGGATTAATGTTCTTAAGTTTTTATTTTTTTTAATGTATCATCGACAGTTTTTTTGCGTTCTGTGCACCTTACCCCATTTTCCTCATATATCCTGCAGTTTTTATCATATGATTTTTCACAGTGAGGTGATTTTCAGGATGTTGTATGCAATGTTATAGCAGAACTGACTGTAATTTGTCAAGGAATTTAATTGTTTGATATGTATTAGCTTATTTGCAACTTACATTCTGTAAAGCACTATAACAAACATTCAGCCTATATCATTAATTTTGTTTTGCTTTTATTCAGATAATTTCCCTTGAAACATAGTATAGTGATTCTCAAAGTAAAATGGCAATCTTAGTAATGTGTATTATCATGTATTTACCTTTAATTTATGGTCTCCTTAACTGTTTATTTCTGGCTTATATAAAACTACATAGAAACCAAAGGCTACAAGTGAGCGACAAAAGAAAACTATGAAAATGGAGAAGAAAAAAGACGAAGGAATATCTGAAGATTTAGAAGAGTAAGACATAAAGATACTTGTTAATATTTTTTACTTATAAACTTATATTTTCATTTTATACAATTTAGGGTCATATAAATATAACTTATTAACAGGTTTCTAAAAAAGCATAGCATTAGCAAATATATAGTTTTATAAGCAGACCAGGATATGATTATGGGAGAAAGCTGAGAAGTAAAGAGCAAAGAACTAAAAATGGGTTAGAGTAGAATAAATCACAAGATATTCAGGAATAGGTAAACAATTAAATACAAATAATTTTAGGGAAAAAAGGATTTACAGTGTTTTCTTGGTTTCGCTAATGATTTGTAATTTGTATGTTAATCCCTCTCCCCATTCTGGGCTCTTCCTTTTTACTGTACTTCTTGGTTGTCTTATTTTATTAAAAAAAGTATCTGTTTTTAATGTATATGGGTTATTGTAAAGTGGCCTTACCAAGAGAATATTTTCTTTACTAATATAATTTATGCAGTTGGAATTTGCTTGATCAAGCCCTCATATAAATATATAGCTTATTAACAAAACTATGAATTCAAACTTTATAGAGTTCCACAAATTCTGAAAAGAAATTCATCAGACAAATGGCCTTTTCTTGAGAAAAGAAAAGATGACCAGAGAAGAAAAAATGACCAATGTACTTTGGAAATCCTTTTCCCATCTCAATGTACCATATTTTAATCATACCAACGAGATGTCAGTTTGAGAAATGTTATTCAATTATTTATCATTTAACCTTTATGGATTTTATGGCTTTTAAAAATATGAATTTCTTATGAAATTTTACTTTCTTTTTTATTCAAGTATAATTGGCTTATTAGTTACAGGTATATGACACAGTAATTTGATATTTTAATACATTACAAATTGATCACCATGGTAAGTCTGTCACCACACAAAGTTATTATGATGTTAATGACTATATTCCCTATGCTATACATTACATCCCATAACTTATTGATTTTATAACTGGCATTTTGTATTTCTTTATCTCCCTTACCTATTTTAATTATTCCCCTTCCCTCCTCCCCTCTGGAAACCACCAGTTTGTTCTCTGTACCTATGAGTTTGCTTCTGTTTTGCTATGTTTGTTCATTTGTTTTTTAGATTCCATATATAAGTGAAATCATACAGTATTTGTCTCTTTGTCTGACAATCCATGTTGTCACAGATGGCAAGATTTCATTCTTTTTGTTGGTTGAGTTATATTAAATCATATATATGGTATCTATATCTATATCTGTATATCTATATCTGTATATACACACATCTTCTTTATCCATTCATCTATTGATGGGTACTTAGTTTACTTCCATATCTTGGCATTTATAAATAATGATCAATGAACATAGGGGTGCATGTATTTTTTGGGGATAGTGTTTTTGTTTTCTTTGAAAAAATACCCAGAAATGGACTTGATGGATCATATGGTAGTATTATTTTTAATTGTTTGAAGAACTCCCATACTTTTTTTTATAGTGACTGCACCAATTTACATTTCCACCAACAAAGCACCAAGGGTTCCTTTTTCTCCACATCCTTGCAGCACTTGTTATTTGTTGTCTTTTTGCTAATAGCCATCCTGACAGGTGTAAGGTGATATCTCATTGAGGGTTTTTTTTTCTTTCTTTTTTTTTTTTTTTGTGGTACACAGGCCTCTCATTGTTGTGGCCTCTCCTGTTGCGGAGCACAGGCTCCGGACGCACAGGCTCAGCGGCCATGGCTCACGGGCCCAGCCGCTCCACGGCATGTGGGATCTTCCCGGACCGGGGCACGAACCCATGTCCCATGTATCGGCAGGCGGACTCTCAACCACTGCGCCACCAGGGAAGCCCCTCATTGAGGTTTTAAATTGCATTTCCCTGGTGATTAGTAATGTTGAGCATCTTTTCATGCACCTGTTGGCCATCTAGACCCCTTGTTTGGAAAAATGTCTATTCAGGTTCTCTGCCATTTTAAAATCAGATTTTTTGGTTTTTTTGATGTTAAGTTGTAGGAGTTCTTTGTATTTGGATATTAACTCTTTATCACATGTATCATTTGGGAATATCTTTTCCCATATAGTAGGCTGACTCTTCATTCTGTTGATAGTTTGCTTTGCTGTGCAAAAGCTTTTTTCAGTTTGATGTAGTTCCATTTGTTTATTTTTCCTTTTGTTTCTCTTGCCTGAGGAGACATATACCAAAAATATGGCTAACACCAATGTTAAAGAGTGTACCACTTATGTTACCTTCTAGGAGTTTTATGGTTGCAGGCCTTATAGTTAAGTCTTTAATCCACTTTGAGTTTACTTTTGTATATGGTGTGAGAATGTAGTCCAGTTTGATTCTTCTACAATACATGTAGCTGTTCAGTTTTCCCAACATCATTAATTGAAGAGGCTGCCTTTTTCCCATTGTATATTCTTGCCTCCATTGTCTTAGATTCATTGACCATATATGTATGAATTTATTTCTGGGCTCTCTACTCTGTTTCATTGAACTGTGTGTCTGTTTTTGTCCAGTGCTATACTGTTTTGATTACTGTATCTTTGTAGTATAGGTTGAAATCAGGGCACATGCTACCTCCAGCTCTGTTCTTTCTCAAGATCGTTTTGGCTATTTGGGGTCTTTTTGTGTTACCATAGAAATTTTAGAATTATTTGTTCTAGTTCTGTGAAAAATGCCATTGGTATTTTTATAGAGATTGTACTGAGTCTGTAGACTTCTTTTGGTAGTATGTCATTTTAACAATGTTAATTCTTCCACTCCATAAGCATAGAATATTTTTCCATTTGTTAATGTTATTTTTAATTTCTTTTATCACTTTCTTACAGGTTTCCAGGTTCAGGTCTTTTACCTCCTCAGTTAGATTTATCCCTAAGTACTTTATTCTTTTTGATACAATTATGAGTGGGATTGTTTTCTTAATTTCTTTTTCTTATAGTTTGTTGTTAGTGTGTGAAACCCAAGAGATTTCTGTATATTAATTTTGTATCCTGCAACTTTACTGAGTTCACTTATTGTTTCTAATAGTCTTTTTTGGTAGCATCTTTAGAATTTTGTAAATGTAGTATTATGTCATGTGCAAACAATGACAGTTTTATTTTTTCTTTTCCAATTTGAATTCCTTTTATATCTTTGTCTTGTCTGATTGCTGTGGCTAGGACTTCAGTTTCAACATTATGTTGAATAAAGGTGATGGGCATCCTTGTCTTATTCTTGATGTTAGAGGAAATGTTTTCAGCTTTTTCTTGTAGAATATGATGTTGGCTTTGGGTTTTTCATATGGTACCTTTATTATGTTGAGGTATGTTCCCTCTGTATCTACTTTGTTGAGAGTTTTTCTCATAAATGGATTTTGAACTTTGTCAAAAGCTTTTTCTGCATCTATGAAGATGATCATATGATATTTATTCTTTGTTTTGTTAACATGGTTTATTATGTTAGTTGATTTTTGGATGTCAAATTATCCTTGCAACCATAGTTAGAATCCCACTTGATCATGGTGTATGATCCTTTTAATGTATTGTTGAATTTGGTTTGCTAATATTTTGTTGAGGATTTTTGCATCTATATTTATCAGTGATATTGATTCGTAACTTTCCTTTTTTGTGGTGTCTCTATCTGGTTTTCATATCAGGGTGATGCTTGTCTCATAGAATGAGTTCAGAGTGTTCCCTCCTCTTTAAATTTTTTGAATAGTTAGAGAAGGGTAAGTGTTAACTCTTTCTTAATGGTTGTTAGAACTCACCTTTGAATTGATCTGGTCATGGACTTTGGTTCATTGGGAGGTTTTTGATTACTGATTCAATTTCATTTCTGGTAATCACTCTGTTCATATTTTCTGTTTCTTCCTGATTCAGTCTTGGGAAATTGTACATTTCTAGGAATTTATCCATTTTTTTCTAGGTTGTCCATTTATTGTGTATAATTGTTTGTACTAATTTCTTACGTATTTCTGTGGTGTCAGTTGTAATTTCTCTTTCATTTTTTATTTTATTTATTTGGGACCGCTCTTTCTTTTTTTCTTGTTTAATCTGGATAAAGTTTTGTCAGTTTTGTTTAACTTTTCAAAACCAGCTCATAGTTTCCTTGACCTCTTTTATTTTTTCTTTTAGTCTTTATTTGATTTATTTTTGTTCCGATCTGTACTATTTATTTCCTTTTACTAATTTTGGGCTTTATTTGTTCTTCTCTTTCTACTTCCTTTAGGTGTAAGGTGAGATTGTTTATTTGAGATTTTGTGTGTTTGTTTCCTGAGGTAGGGTGCCAGATCCTGCCTCATGTGGTGGTTGCTGGCCTGCTGGTGGGCAGGGCTGGGTACCCAGGCTGGGGGTCAGGGGCTCCTTGGGCTAGTATCAGCCTGCTGGTGAATGGGTAAGCCCCTGGTACTAATAGTCTAGAGGGAGGATTCCAAAATGGTGCTTGAGAGCACCTTGTCCTCATGGTAGAATGAGCTCCCCAAAATGGGTGCCGCCAGCGTTTGTGTCCCCAAGGGGAGTCCCAGTTGCCTCCGACCTCTCCAGGAGGCTCTCCAAAATCAGCAAATGGGTCTGACCCTGGCTCCTTTTAAATTACCACCACTACGCTGGGACTCAGCATGTTAGATTTTGCATGTCCCAGAAGAGTGGGATCTACGTTTCCTACAGCCCTCCTGCTCTCCAATATGCAAGCCCTGCTGGCCTTCACAGGCCAGCAGGGCTTGCATATTGTTCTTGGGGCTCATCTTCTCAGGTTGGACCCCTGGGGTAGGGAGTCTGATGTGGAGCTCAGACCCCTCACTCCTTGGGGGAGAACAACTGCAATTGTGATTATCCTCCCATTTGTGGGTCACCTACCCAGGAATGTGGGTCTTCACTATACTGAGTCTTTACCCCTCCTATCCATCTCATTGTGGTTACTTCTTAATATCTTTACTTTTCTGGTAGTCTTCATGTCATTCTCATCAATAGTTGCTCTGTAAATAGTTGTAATTTTGGTGTGCCTGTGGGAGGAGGTAAATTTGGGGTCTTCCTACTCCATCATTTTGGGTGCACCTCTCAAAATTTCATTTCTTTAAAATGGTTTGAGTACTCATCAAGAAAGCAAAGTAGTCATGCAAATATCATAAAATATCATGATATATTTAAAAACATTTTTTTTTTTCAGGAAGAAGTCTGTAGTGAAAGAGCTTAAAGTAAAAGAAGATATGCCTCAAGTCCAGGTAACACAGAATCTCTTTCTGTGCATCTAAATGTGATTAATAAGGCTCTGATAATTGTATATATAGATGATATTAGTATGTATATGAATATAGGTGTGTATGTATGTGTGTTTGTGAGTGTATATGTGTACTAAATTTCTTCCTAAGATACTTCTTTCTTGTCAGTTGGCTTTTCTCAGCAAGTTTCGAAAACCAAATGGTAAATTTAGACACATTTACTGTCAAGGTTATGAAAATTACCATAGTTCACTCAGTTATAGGCAGTATCATGGAGGAAAGACCATCATATTATGAGTCAGAGCAGACTTACTAGTTAAGTGACATTGGACAAGTCCCTTTAACCTACTTGAACTTCATATTTTTCATCACTAAAATGGGTAAAACAATAGCTTCCCTATCTATTTTAAGAAGGTATAAGAGATGCAAGAAGCAAATAGGAAAAATTTTCAGACATTGTAAATATAGCCCACTCTTTTTTACGTGATCCAATGAAAAGAATACAAGTAACCCTTTGTTTCATCTTGTCTTTGGTAAACTTTCTTTTGCTACAAGTTGACTTCTTAACTATCAGAGCATCATGTCACCCATTTGGTCACTCTCATCCCATGAGTGGCTGGACTTAAGTGTCCTACAAGTATGTACCTGCATGATTCAAGAATCAAATAACATAAATTTGCAAAGAAAATGAGAGTACTGCTTGAAATACTGAGTATAAAATGAACAACTTTATGGTATTAGTTTTCTGTTTCTGCATAACAAGTTACATCACATTTTGCAGCTTAAAACAATTTAAATTGTCTCATAGTTTTGAATGGCTTAGGAGTCTGAGCATGGCTAATCTGTGCCTTATGCTCAAGGCCTCACCATACAGCAGTCAAGGCGTTGGCTAGGCTCTGCTTTTTTTGGTCACTTGGGGTCCTCTTCCAAGCTTAAGTAGATGTGGCAAATTTCAGTTCTGTGCAGTTGTAGGACTGGGGCATTTAGCCATGTGGCCTTCTCCATAAGCAGTTTACATTATAGCATCTCACTTCTTCTTTAAGGCCAGCAAAGAGTCTCTCTTTCTTGCTAAGACAGTCTCATGCAATATAATATGATCATGAGAGTGACACCTTATCACCTCACCTATATAGTTGATCCTTGAACGACATGGAGTTTAGGAATGCCGTCCCCTCCCTCACAGTCGAAAATTTGCATACTGCTATCTCTGCCTCAAAAACAAAGGAATTGATAAATGACTCACCAAAGGGCAGGAAGGCAAAACAGCTAGGGTAGAGTCAGGACTCAAACCCTAGTTATTTTATTTTATTTTATTTTATTTTTTATTTTTTTTTGCGGTACGCGGGCCTCTCACTGTTGTGGCCTCTCCTGTCGTGGAGCACAGGTGGACTCTCAACCACTGCGCCACCAGGGAAGCCCCAAACCCTAGTTCTTTTGATTCCACATATTGTGATCTCTAATCGAACACACTTTTCCCTATACTTAGTTGATACAAAGATCTGTAAAATGAAAATATAGGTACAGTATTCATTGAAAAATATCTTTGTATAAGTAGACCCAGGCAGTTCAAACCCATGTTGTTCACAGGTCAAATACATAATACAGTCTAGTAAGTGGATTGGCATCTCATCACTGTGCAATATTCTCTTGGCTAAAAGCAAGTCACAGGTTGTATTCACACTAAAAGGAGTGGATTATACAGAGCATAACTTCAGGGATGGAGATCATGGAGGCCATTTTAGTATTCTGCCTACCATACCAGGTGATTTTATATAGAACAGCATTTTGTGTGTATTTTAAAAACATTTATTATAATTCCATTTTTAAATTAATATTGTAAGTCTTGAAACTAGTGTTTTAGTTCATTTGGGCCATGTCTTAGTCCCTTCAGACTGCTTTAACAAAATTTCAGGGATTGGGTAGCTTATAAACAACAGAAATTTATTTCTAACAGTTCTGGGGGCTAGATGTTCAAAATCAGAGTACCAGCATGATGGGGTGAGGGTCCTCTTCTGGCTTTCAGAATTCTTGTATTCTCATATGCAGAAGGAGAGCTTTCTCAGGCCCCTTTTATAAGGGCGTTAATCTCATTCATGAAGGCTCTGCCCTCATGACCTAATCACCTCCCAAAGGCTCTGCCTCCTAATATGATCACAGTGGGCATTAGGATTTCAACATAATGAATTTGAGGGCAGGACACAAACATTTGGACCATAGCAGGCTTCTATAACAAAATACTTTAGACTGGGTAGCTTAAATAACAAACATTTATTTCTCACAGTTCTGGAGGTAGGGAAGTCCAAAGATCAAGTCACCAGCAGATTTGGTGTCCAGTGAGAACCTGATTCCCGGTTCATAGATGGCCATATTCTTGCTGTGTCTTTACATGGCAGAAATGGCAGAGGAGCTCTCTAGAATCTCTTTTATAGGGTGCTAATTCCATTCATGAGAGTACCACCCTCATGACCTATTCATCTCCCAGTGGCTCCACCTCCAAATACCATTACATTAGGGATTAGATTTCAATATATGAATTTTGGGGGGCACAAGCATTCAATTTGTAGCAGATAGTGTCATTTAAATTTTTTTTTCTGAATTTAAAATAAAAATTTTCTGTGTGGGTATACTTTTTTCTGGAGAAGTTCTGTGGATATAATGAGAATTTTAAAGGAATTTGGGAATTTATCTCCCTCCTCCAAAACTTCATTATGAACTATCACTGATCTAGACCATTTTACAGAGACCAATAGAAGCTAAAATGTGACTTGCTTAGTTTAGAGAACAAATTGGTACTGAAATCTGAACTGCAAACATGGCTCTCTGAATCCTGCTTAGCATTTGCAATTACAGTCAGTCCTTGAACAACATGGGTTTGTGCTGTGAGGGGCCACTTATACATGGATTTTTTCCAATAAATATGTACTGTAGTACTACACAGTCTGTGGTTGGTTGAATCTGCAGGTGTGGAACCATGTATATATACAAAGGGCCAGCTGTAAATTTGTATGTGGATTTTCTGTTGGGTGGGTTCCTGTAACCCCCATGTTTTTCAAGGGTCAGTTATAGGGAAAATGTATTCGGTTTTGCTTCCTCAGGCAGGCATGGGTATTAGAATCAGTTGGTATTATTATCTATCTGTCCAAGTAAGTATAATGTTTGTAAAATTTTTTAATAAGTCATGTAAAACTATATTTTAGTTTTTTTACATGACATAGTTTTTTTATTAGTTGTTCATTAGGGTATGGATTGGATTTTGCAGTCAGGGAGAACAACTAGAGAGTTTTTGCAATAATTTAACTCAGTGATAAACTAGTTAATTATAAGTTAAATGTATTAAGATAGAAATGTAAATAACATTTCTTATAATCCAAATTTTACTGTTGCCAAATGGAAAGATTTAATTTTATAAAAATATTAATCCCTTAAAATTAATAAATGTACTGCATTTCTAGTCAGAATTCAAAAAGGACTTTTTTAAAAGGGAGAAATGATTTGAAGATTATGTAAAATTTACCTGTAAAATTATCTAGGAGCCTTTTAAAAAATGGTAGTTCTTTGACCAGTTTCCAAATTCCTTTTGAGATTATTGGTGCATCTATTTTTGTAGTTTATATTTTCATATAAATTTATCTATTTCTAATGGTTTTTCAAGTGTACTGCTTGAATTTTACGTTATTTTTTTTTTTCTGTATCTCTATTTCTAACTTCTTTTTCCATTTACAGAAGTATTTGTTGTTTTTTTTTCTTTCCTTTTAATCAGGTTTGTCAGGGGATTATAATTTTTATATAAAAATAGTTTTGGAGTTTCACTTAGCTATTTTACTGTTTTATTTCTTGTTGCTGTTACTGTTTGTTTTCTACTTAATTACTCTAACCTTTATTGTTATTAATTTCTTCTACCACTTTTTGTCTTTGGTTTATTTTTAGTTTCTTTTCAAATCTGTATTAGTTATATAGGTAGTTTATTTATTTTTACATTTGTTTAATTACAGTTAAACAATATTTAGGCGACACATTTTTCACTGAATACAACTTCATTTGTATTTTATAGGTGTTTGAGTTTTTCTTTGTTTCACAAAAATGTTTTTAGTTCATCTTTTCATTGTTGGTTTACCTTTTTATAGAATTAACATCAGAAAATAGTACATAGAAAGTCCATACTTTTTGAAAGTTTTAAAAGGTATGTTTTGTGGTCAAGTGCATATGTTTATTTCAGTTTTCTATTACTCTATAACAAAGTACCCTAATATATAGAGGTCTACTACACCAATAGTTAATTATTTCTCATTGATTTTGGGGTTGGCTGGGCTTATCGGGATGATTCTTCTGCTCCATGTTGTACTGGGGTCACTCATGTAGCTTCATTCAGCTTTAGAATGTTTAAGATGGCTTCCTCAAATGTCTGGTGGTAAGTGGAATGGCTAAGGGCTGAATCTTTCTTTCATGTGGTTGATCATCATTTAGTAGTCAAGCCCACGTATCATTACACAGAAGCTGGACTCCAGTAGCTCAAAAGAAACTGCAAGACCCTTTAAGACCTGCACTCAGAAGCCTTAGAACATAATTTCCCCACATTTTACTGGTTAGGGGCCAGCCCAGACTCAAAGGGAGGGAAAATATATTCTACTTTTTGATGGGAGAAAGGGCATATGTAGGTAGGGGTGGTACAAATTATAGATGGTCATTTTTGGAAATAGTCTATGATAGTCTTCCCTCTGGCTACATGTTAATATTTCTCCCACATGCAAAATGTACTCACCTCTTACTTCTAAAATCTCATTACATTCTAGTTTTATCTTGAAGTCTAAGATCTTATCATCTATACCAGGTCTAGATATGGATGAGGCTTCTTGGCACAGCTCCTTTTGATCTGGAGATGTGTTATCTAAAAAGGCAAGTGGTGCAATCACTGAGGAAAACGGTATGAAGGTTCCTCATAAGACTAAAAATAGAACTGCCACATGATCCAGCAATTCCACTCCTGGGTATATATTCAAAGGAAA